CTGAATTAGGGGTTTCTCAAGCCGCAATGGCTCAAATATACTCCTCGAGCCTGTACCACCAGATAACTAATCAGTTAAGTCTGTCTTCGAGGGTTCGAAGTTGATTTGGGGGTTAGGGTTTGGGGTACGGTTGCATTGACTGATTTCACTTTTTGATTTTGCTCCAACGACCCATGATCTGGTTTTGATTTCACAAGAGAAAATGCGAAAACTTACCCGCTGTTTGCAGAAGTGGATGTCGATTTCAGGTTTGGGGAAAATCAAATCACAACAAAGATCACAATCCGATTTTAGTTTCTTGATTGCTAAACTAAATTATTTCTACAGAAGACCGATTTCACATATGAAAAATGAAATGGATTTGGGGGTTAGAGTTAGGGATTGAGATTGTGGTGTTTGGAAATGGGAACGCAAGTTTTTGCTGATTTGGAGATAAATTTGTGTATTTAACTCTCGTGAACACATTTAACGGTACACGTAGGCATTCCGTCTGCCACCTAGACAGAGTTGAAAGACGGAATTCTTTCAATGAGTAACGGGAAGCAACATACCTAAGTTCAATGGTCATTGGGACAACTCTTAAAGTCTGGTGAATAAGCCGTGACGAAGTGCAAAGTTCAATGACCATTCAAACATTTAACTCCAAAAACCACCCAACCCGACCCGCCAATTTAATATTAAAAAAAAAAAAAAACAGATTTTTTGTCAAACTGAAGTCTAAATCCCTAGACTCCCCTCATTTCATTTACGCCGACTTCTCTCTTTACTCCTCTCTCCAAGCAGAAGTTGTACAAGGATTGCAATTTCTCCATTAAGAGGTTTGCTTCTTATCTTTCCCTTAAATTGTATATAATTTGGCGCGTTGTACATCCTTCTCTTAATATTGCACAGCGTTTTCACGCAGGCTCTTGTAGCCTTTTGTTTGTCTGCTGCACCTTATTTTTCGGTTGCATCAATTGGGGTTATCAATTATTGTTGGTGTTTCTTACATTTTTTTTTAAAGATTGCTCTTAATTAGCAGCACAAATGGAATGCACCAGTAATCGTAATTTATATTCTTGTCTGCTCGGGATTATTGGCTTGGGTTTATGTATGGTTGGTATGGTTTGCTGGTGTGGTATTAGCCGCTCTGGCTGTGTAAATGATGTTTTCTGTGTGGGCACATCATGAATTGGCTGATTGTAGATTAAAAATTTGGAAAAATTTTTATTTTCTTTGAATGTAGAATACAATGTCTATGAGAAATGTGCCTTCCGAATTCCAAATAAACTATTCGTGTTTATTTGTTTCATAGAAGGCCTACATTGACTTGGAGAGTCTACTGAAAGCATGTTTAGTTACCTGGCAAGGTTTCAATAGGACTTCACCACACAAATATGAAATACCTATCAGTTATTCCTTTCAAAAAAAAAAAAAAAAATCTATGAGAAACTGCACATTTAGAAGCATTAAAAGTTTATAAATTCAATGCAATTGTTGCGGCGACATTTTTATCGCAACAGATGGGGGTGGTAAAGCATATGCTTGGTTTGCTTTTACTCAAGACTGGACCGAAAATGTTTACATTCAAAATTTTAAAGGCAGAAATGAACTGGACCCATACCATCCAGGGCTTGTCGGTCCGGTTCTATCCTTTGCATTGATCTTAATTTTTAACTTAATTCCCACTGATCAATTCACCAACTATTTTGAAGTTTCTTTCACACATCACACTTGAATCAAACTGTGAGACTTCAATCATTCAGCGTTTCTCTATTCCTCCATTATGCACACATTTATATGAAGAGAATACACGGGTCATTGTAGTTCAAGAAAAGATAAGGGAACATATCATGTAATAAACTTTCTGTCTACCTTATATATCTTTACTTCTAGTGTAAAGAAATACAGAATGCTATACTCCAATAAATCTTCTTTGGAATAACAACCTGGAGAAAGAATCCTCCCATTTTCTGTCTGCAGTTGCTGCTGACTCTTAATTAAGATTCTGCAGAGAAAGACAAATAATGCTGGGTCTTTGACTGTAAGAGAGCAAAATTGGGATCACCTCATCTATTAATAGAATTGATCGATACAAACCGACCAATCCAATCCAACCCGACCGACACATAATTGGGTTGGGTTTCAACATTTACATGGGTTGGGTTGGATTTCGAACAAACTAACAATGTTGGGTTGGGTTTGTGTTGGGGCAAAAATCAGCCTAACTCGCCCCTAGCAAGGGCTGTAACCTAGGTTTTCTTTCTCGGTATTGTACACTAAAACTTGGGAATATTTTCATCACCCCCAGCCTAGGTTTTCTTTCTCGGTAGCTTACGTGTCAGTGACTTCTTCTCTTCATCTTCATCACCAAACTTGGAAGGTATTATCAGATTGTATTAGTGTTAAAATGGGCTTTATATGTTGAAATCGACTCGATTTGTTTGTTGTGAATGATTTAATTTGAACTCAACTCCTTATAATTTACTTTTTTTTCTTGATCGTACACTTTCTCTAGCAACAGTGATTTTTTCAACAATATTTCTCTTGAATTTTTGATGCGGTTGTTTATGGTTTTCCATTGGTGAAATACACATGACCAAAATCCAGTGGTCTTTATATTTGAGGAACATGAAACGCTGTTTTGAGCACTGCGCAATTCATTTTGAAATGTCAATTTGTTCTTTATATTTGAGGAACATGAAACGCTGAAGACATTCACAATTTTAAAATCGGTTTGGTCTAAGGCAAGAACTTGGTCAAGCTAGTTTTTGCCCACCCCTTGTTACTTCTATAGTAATTTAAATATTCTTGTCATTTATCGTTATTTCATTGACTTTTCTACATTTTTGCATATTTGTTTCACTGGGTTATATCATGATTTTCTTTAACAATATTTTATTATTTGTTGGTTTGGTTTTGGTTCGAAATCTCTTAAGTTCATTATTAAACCTCCATTTTTTTACATTGATGTTATTGGTTTTCAACATTGACTTGTTGCTCTATTATTGAGGTATCAGCCATGAAATAAATGTATGGAGTTTTTACTGTTTATATACTGATGCTAATGATTCATTTTCATTATGTTGCAGACGGTGTATTGGATATGATGAGTTTGATTTCTCAAAATGCTATACCCAAAGAGGTGAAAAGGAATGCAAATAAGGATGGGACCACACGTGTTGAGGATGGGAACAAAGAGGTTGAGGATGGACAGGAGCTTGATTTTGATGCTATAAAGAATCAAAAAAGAAGGAGAGAACGAAAGAAAAAGGATGAAGAATTAGAGATTGAGCAGGAGAGGGAAATGAATAAGCTAGAGAACTTTTTGTTTGGTTCTTTGTACTCTCCCATTGAGTTTGGGAAACACAATGAAGAAATGAGAGATGACAATAGTTCTGCATTGTTCTTCACGGACAGGTCTGCAAATAGTATGTTGTCGGTTTATGAAGAGGATAAAGGATTGGCAGAAGAAACAAGTGACGAGGAGGGAATTAGGCAAAGGAAACCTGTATGGGTAGATGAAGAAGAGGAGAAAGCCAGCATAAATATAGCTAAAGTGAACAAATTGAGGAAACTGAGGAAAGAAGAGGATGAGTGTGTAATTTCTGGTTCTTCATATGTGTCAAGATTAAGAGCTCACCATGCTAAGTTGAACCCTGGAACTGATTGGGCACAACCTGATGTACAGGCGAGAGATTACAGCTCTGACGACGAGGATGTCGATAAAGAAAGTGGGGCAGTGGTGGCCAGTGGTTTCGAGGATGCTGAAGGTGTTGATGATATCCTTAAAAGGAATGAAGATCTTGTTGTGAAGAATAGTGCAAAATTGTTACCAGGGCGTCTAGAGTATTCAAGGCTGGTGGATGCCAATATGATGGAACGTTCAAATGGTCCTGTAAAATCAGTCCAATTTCACAAAAATGCACAGTTGCTCCTTGCTGCTGGTTTAGATAAGACGATAAGATTTTTTCAAATTGATGGAAAAAAGAATGCTAAAATACAAAGCATCTTTCTTGATGGTTATCCGATTTATAAGGCTTCTTTCTTACCCGATGGGTCTCAGGTTATTATATCGGGAAGAAGAAAGTTTGCGTACAGCTTTGATTTAGTCACGACAGAGAAAAATGAGATAGGCCCTCTAATTGGAAGGGAGGAGAAGAGCTTGGAAAGCTTTGAGGTTTCTCCTGATTCTAATACAATTGCTTTTCTCGGCAATGAAGGTTATATTTTCTTAGTTTCAACGAAAACAAAAGAACTCATTGGGACCTTGAAAATGAATGGGACCGTTCGTTCAGTAACTTTTACCAATGATGGACAGCAATTGCTGAGCTCTGGTGGGGATGGGCATATTTACCACTGGGACCTGAGAACAAGGACTTGCTTCCACAAAGGAGTCGATGACGGTTGCAGAACTGGTACAGCCCTTTGCACTTCCCCAACTGGAAATCTATTTGCAGCTGGTTCAGACAGGGGCGCTGTGAACATTTACGACAGGGAAGACTTCTTAGGTGGGAAGAGGAAACCACTCAAGATCCTTCATAAACTGAACGCTGAAGTGAATTTCATGAAATTCAACAACGATTCTCAAATGTTGGCCATCTGTTCGAACATGAAGAAGAGCAGCTTAAAATTGGTTCATGTTCCATCATTTACCATGTTCTCAAACTGGCCACCATTAACTCAGACTCTAGATCATACAAACTGTCTAGACTTCAGTCCTCATGGAGGTTTTATGGCCTTGGGAAATGCTGCCGGAAAAGTGTTACTATACAAGCTCCATCACTACCATAATGCATAGTGATTTTTTCTATAAAACACGGTTCATATGTCATTTGTTGTTGGTTTAACGGTTTAAGTGAGATGCATTTCCATCCATCTGCAGATCATATCTGCGGTAATTTTGTTCTTTCTTTTCAGTACCGTGTATATTTTGTCTAGAACTGATTGAGTTCAGACTGGTTTTTGTTACAAAAATTTATCGTACTTTGCCTAGCTGGGTTAATTTTATCTAGACATTGATGCTAAGTTTTGTAGGGCTGCAATCTGCTAAAAGTGGGGATATTGCACCTTTCAATGACAGTAGCAATGACACCATGATGGTTCATCAATTTCAGGAAGCAGCCTCTATTCCTGCAACTGGTAGATCCCTTGGTAGATTTTATCCACTCAATTCTTAGATTTTCGTCTGGACCAGTTAAGAGCGAGTAAATGTCATGCTCGCCTTGATTGTCAATTTTACCAGACTCGTCCCATCAGATGTTCACGCCTGATTATCATTTTACCAGACTCGTCCCATCAGATGTTCTGATGGATGCTCTGTCTTCCATGTGCTGAAATGTCGCTGACATTAATTTGGAGCTAGAGTGACACCTAAAGCATGCAACGTAGGGAAGATTGTCTAGCATGGGACACTAAAAGAAAAAAATGTTCATTATATTGTTGAGTCAGTTCGAGTACTACGTACGGAACATGCATTTAGAAGAAAGTTACATTAGAAGTTGGATTGGTGTATGTTACTTGTAATCAAATGCAAGTTACCGTTAGAAATGGTGAACAATTGCTGTAAGTGGTTTCCTCGTTTATTCTTTCCCGGGCTAGTTTTATTGGTTGGAATGACAAGGTAGATAACTTGAAAAGGAAGAGCTGGTCGAGGGGTAGTTATTGTCTTCCATTGCCAGTGTCTTCTTGGTATACTTGTGTAGAAAAATAGATTGATGATATGTCTGTTCAAAAAACCGCAGAGCTGTCTATAGTGTGAAAGATAAATTTGAAATAAATAAATTTGTTTTGGCAAGGGGCAACACAAATATTAATTAGTCTTTTGAACTTGTCAAATACAGAAACAAATATATACATGGCAAAATGAAAAGGAAAACTAGAATGAGAAATCACAACAGTGGTATTGTGAATTATTACAGTGTTCACGCAGCATTCAATTTTTTTTTTAAAACCGTTGTCTTCAGTTAAAAACTCGCATAGTTGAGTGAGAGCAATCAATATAGCCTTAGCAATACTTTAGGCCAAGGTGGGAGCCCCATGAGTATAAAAATAATATAAAACACCCTACTTTGATTTTCTCTGTAACAACCAGGCCATCACGTAAAGATCAATATTTAACATCGAACAAAGTATTAAGGGAGGAGCCAAACCCCAGGTTTTGTTAACAAAGTTGAACGTCTTGGGATTTGACGGAAAAATATGTTTAATGCCTTGCACTCAATCAAACCACGGTTACTAGCACAAAATTACAAGAAACTCAGTTTGAATTTAGTAGAAAAAACTACGTAGTTAGTTATCTTCGATGAAGCGTTATGTACGAAAACAAAGAAGAAAGATATTTGTATAAAATAAATTTAAGGTTGGTGTTATTTCTAATAAATTTACCTTGTGACGGAAGAGTCGATCTTTTGCCATAAAAAAATTGAGAAAATTTTGAACATTTATACATAAATCCCATAATTTCAGACACAATCACAATCAATATTCAATATCGGATTTAACACCAATTTATTCTTCTATATCAACCCAAAATATATAGCAATCATCTATTGATCTGCAGCAACAAAAATAATATACAAACCTCAACCATATGTTCTAAAGACCTAAGCTGTCTTGTAAGAAATCAAATGCCCCTCCCTCCCTCCTCAACTATACTATGTAATTTCTTTCCTTCTCTACACTATCAGCATACTATCATCCCCTTACGGTCGAGGTGGAAAAATCTGCGTATATTTCCTGACGAACCAGTAACAGTAACTCATCAGGTTACAAAGTCTGGCAACAATTGTTCCGCTAACCTCTTGCGGTCATGCTAGTCGAGTGAGCAGATGTTGGAGTATTCGTACCATTTTTTATCCACATATTTTGTGGGTTTCACAAGTACTACCAGCTTATTCACTGCTCATTAGTATTGTGTACACATAGCATGGTCCTTTATCTATTTATAACCATTTATAAACAACTCCCAAACATGCTTTAACTATGAGACCAGGGCCACATCAGGCTGGAATCAAGTTTTGATATTAGATGCTGGGAAATGACCCATTTATAATACCAAATCCAGGATATTCTTGATATGTGATAAAAAGTCATCAGTTCTCAGGTATAAATATTGTTTCTAAGATAAGGAAGATTGGGTTGTACCTACCAGTTGGTCATCGCAATTTAGTAAAATATTATGCAGAGAGGATGATGTTCAAGACGAAAGAATTCGCAATATTTAAATTGTAGTCGACAAAGACTTTCATAACCTAGGTATATATTCAGCCTCATTTCAGTTTAGTTTTAGACTTTAGTAATTCAAATAACATTTCCCCCTACCGATACATTTTCTTGACTTTTTTTTAAAAAAAAAAAAAAAGCGATCTCTTTAGAGCGTTAGTCAATAGATATCATATTTCCTATGCAACGATACAATCATACGAAGATCATACTAGAGGAGAAATAATCAAAGAAGCACGGTAGAACAATCAGAAACAAATGTTAAAGGACTTGGAGCTCATACAGCGTAAACCATCTTTAGTTGACTCTTTTAGTCTTGCCGATATAACTTCTTCCGCATATGGGCGAAACATTACCAGTCTAAACCTTGCCTGCAGAAGAAGACAGAAATTAATCATTAGGATAATCACATAACTGGAATTGGAAGACACATTTCATGTTAAACTATTCAAGTCAAGATTACTCTCATGTCATAAAGCAAGCTCAAGCTAGTGGTGGACGGGCACGTGCCCCCAACTTTTGAGATTTTTTTTTAAAGACATGTTTCGTATTGATTGAAATCTAAATTTTAAGCCCCTCAACTTTTGAGATTTTTTTTTAAAAATCATGTTTGGTATCGATTGAAATCTAAATTTTAATCTAAATCAAAGGTGTTGATGATATCCTTGAAAGGAATGAAGATCTTGTTGTGAAGAATAGTGCAAAATTGTTACCAGGGCGTCTAGAGTATTCTAGGCTGGTGGATGCCAATATGATGGAACTTTCAAATGGTCCCGTAAAATCAGTCCAGTTTCACAAAAATGCACAATTGCTCCTTGCTGCTGGATTAGATAAGATGATATGATTTTTTCAAATTGATGGAAAAAAGAATGCTAAAATACAATGCATCTTTCTTGATGGTTATCCGATTTATAAGGCTTCTTTCTTAGCCGATGGGTCTCAGGTTATTCTATCGGGAAGAAGAAAGTTTGCGTACAGCTTTGATTTAGTCACGACAAAGAAAAATGAGATAGGCCCTCTAATTGGAAGGGAGGAGATGAGTTGGAAAGCTTTGAGATTTCTCATGATTCTAATACAATTGCTTTTCTCGGCAATAAAGGTTATATTTTATTAGTTTCAACGAAAACAAAAGAACTCATTGGGACCTTGAAAATGAATGGGACTGTTCGTTCAGTAGCTTTTACCAATGACGGACATCAATTGCTGAGCTCTGGTGGGGATGGGCATATTTACCACTAGAACTTGAGAACAAGGACTTGCTTCCACAAAGGAGTCGATGACGGTTGCAGAACTGGTACAGCCCTTTGCACTTCCCCAATTGGAAATTTATTTGCAGCTAGTTTAGATAAGGGCGCTGTGACAATTTATGACAGGGAAGACTTCTTAGGTGGGAAGAGGAAACCACTCAAGATCCTTCATAAACTGAACGCTGAATTGAATTTCATGAAATTCAACAACGATTCTCAAATGTTGGCCATCTATTCCAACATGAAGAAGAATAGCTTAAAATTGGTTCATGTTCCATCATTTAGTGTTGGGAGCAAACAAGAAGTCTCATATCGGTTGTGAGAAGAAAAGAAATCCACCATATAATCTAAGTGGGCTACTCCACCCATTACCAATTGGTTTTGGGTTGGAACCTCACTTGGGTTTGGTGATGTGGGCTTGGGCCCGGTCAATTTGCTCATAATTTTCCCTACATTTACCATGTTCTCAAACTGGCCACCATTAACTCGGACTCTACATCATACAAATTGTCTAGACTTCAGTCCTCATGGAGGTTCTATGGCAATGGGAAATGCTGCCGGAAAAGTGTTCCTATACAAAAATTTATTGTACTTTGCCTAGCTGGGTTAATTTTAGCTAGACATTGATGCTAAGTTTTGTAGCGATAATCAAGGTGCCTAATATATGTCAACGGTTAGTTTTATTTGGTTTTTGTACCCTGGATTAGACATCATGTCCAACCAACTAAAGATGATTGAAGTTTGATTCCCAATATATTTCAGTAAACGTTCCATTGATCTGAATAAATAATAGCACAAAACCTTGATTCGATTATTCATTTTCATCATGTTACAGACGATGTATTAGATATGATGAGTTTGATTTCTAAAAATTTGATACCCAATGAGGTGAAAAGGAATGCAAATAAGGATGGAACTACACGTGTTAAGGATGGGAACAAAGAGGTTGATGATGGACATGAGCTTGATTTGGATTAGAGATGGCAACGGGGCGGGTTCGAGACGGGACACCCTCGCCCCGCCCCACCACTCCCCCTTCCCGCCTTAGACGAGGTGAGGTGAGGTGGGGCAGGGCGGGTGCGGGGCACGGGCTTGTCCCGTTTCCTGCCCCGTTTATTTTATTTTTTTCAAAAAATTCCAGTTAACTAATATTTTTTTAATTTGTCGTTAATTATTTTTTTTATTCTTCATGGGGCAGGTTCGGAGCCCGCCCCGTGACCCAAGGCGGGGCAGCAATCCTTGCTCCACCCTGCCCCGCCAACCCATCGGGGCGGGGCGGGTTTTTTTCCATCACTAATTTGGATGCTATAAAGAATAGAAAAAAAGAAGAAGAGAACGAAAGGAAAAGGATGAAGAATTAGAGATTGAGCATGAGAGGGAAATTAATAAGCCAGAGAACTTTTTGTTTGGCTCTTTGTACTCTCCTATTGAGTTTGGGAAACACAATGAAGAAATGAGAGATGAAAATAGTTCTGCATTGTTCTTTACGGACATGTCAGCAAATAGCAAGTTGTTAGTTTATGAAAAGGATACAGAATTGGCAGAAGAAACAAGTGACGAGGAGGAAATTAAGCAAAGGAAACATGTATGGGTAGATGAAGAAGAGGAGAAAGCGAGCATAAATATAGCTAAGGTGAACAAATTGAGGAAACTGAGGAAGGAAGAGGATGAGTGTATAATTTTCTGTTCTTCATATGTGTCAAAATTGAGTGCTCATCATGCTAAGCTGAACCCTGGAACTGATTAGGCACAACCTGATGTACAGGTAAGAGATTACAGCTCTAACGACGAGGATGTCGATAAAGAAAGTGGGGGCAGTGGTGGCCAGTGGTTACGAGGATGCTGAAGGTGTTGATGATATCCTTAAAAGGAATGAAGATCTTGTTCTAAAGAATAGTACAAAATTGTTACTAAGGCGTCTAGAGTATTTGAGGCTGGTGGATGCTAATATGATGGAACGTTCAAATGGTCCCGTAAAATCAGTCCAATTTCACAAAAATGCACATTTGCTCCTTGCTGGTGAATTAGATAAGACGATAAGATTTATTCAAATTGATGGAAAAAAGAATGCTAAAATACAAAGTATCTTTCTTGGTGGTTATCCAATTTATAAGGCTTCTTTCTTACCCGATGGGTCTTAGGTTATTATATCGGGAAGAAGAAAGTTTGCATACAGCTTTGATTTAGTCATGACAGAGAAAATAAGATAGGCCCTCTAATTGGAGGGGAGGAGAAGAGATTGGAAACAGTTGAGGTTTCTCGACAATGAAGGTTATATTTTATTAGTTTCAACGAAAAAAAAAGAAGAACTCATTGGGACCTTGAAAATGAATGGGACTATTCGTTCAGTAGCTTTTACCAATGACGGACATCAATTACCGAGCTCTAGTGGGGATGGGTATATTTACCACTGGGACCTGAGAACAAGGACTTGCTTCCACAAAGGAGTCGATGACGGTTGTAGAACTGGTACAACCCTTTGCACTTTCCCAACTGGAAATCTATTTGCAGCTAGTTCAGACAGGGACGCTGTGAACATTTACGACAGGGAAGACTTCTTAGGTGGGAAGAGGAAACCACTCAGGATCCTTCATAAACTGAACGGTGAAGTGAATTTCATGAAATTCAACAACGATTCTCAAATGTTGGCCATCTGTTCCAACATGAAGAAGAAGAGCTTAAAATTGGTTCATGTTCCATCATTTACCATGTTCTCAAACTGCCCACCATTGACTCAGACTCTGCATCATACAAACTGTCTAGACTTCAGTCCTCATGGAGGTTTTATGGCACTGGGAAATTCTGCTGGAAAAGTGTTCCTATACAAGCTCCATCACTACCATAATGCATAGTGTTTTTTTCTATAAAACACGGTTCATATGTCATTTGTTGTTGGTTTAACAGTTGAGCGAGATACATTTCCATCCATCTGCCGATCAAATATGACGTAATTTTGTTCTTTCTTTTCAGTACCTTATATATTTAGACTAGAACTGATTTGAGTTCAAACTGGGTCTTTCAGCATCAAGCACGGGTCTTGATGTGATGAGAATTGAGCAAGAAGAATGTCTTTATTTCTATGTAAAAGTGGCAAACTGTGCAACCTACTTTTTACGAGGACTCGTATACATTTAAATACAAACTTTACAAGCTCTATTCTAGGAAACTAGAAAATGTTATGGCTATACAAAAATAACAGTTATAGAGAATTGATTGTCGAGATATGATGACAGACCTGTTACAAGCTGTTGACACACAAAATGTACAGCC